ATGTTTAGGTTTTTAAAAATCACTTTAAATATTTAACAGTGGGCTTCAAAAAATGTTAACGGGCTAATGAATATTTATGTTTTTATTCAGGTGTGTTTTGCTTATAGAAATATTAGCGCATGACTGAACCACCTGCAAATCATCAGGACCCCATTAAAAACAGTCAGTTTTGGGTTGTTTTTTTTTAGGGGTGAAGATGAAGACGTTGATGGCAGCTGTGTTATCCGACCGCCTCAGTCCTGGTGTCAAATAATTGATGAGCGCTTTGATGATGTTGCATCAGTTGGAACAGTCTGCAGCACGACAGTCAGCGAAGAAGGCAGCTCATTCATAAATGAGTCATCCAGCTGGAACCTGAGTGAAGTGGGTAAGTAAAACTGATAACTCCTCAGTCTGACATTTCACTATGTGTCATCTCTGCTGAACACATAAAAAAGTTACAGAAAACAGCCTGTTGGTCCTCCAGTGACATTTCAGTGGCGTCAAAATGTGTGTTAAAGACAAATTAAGGCATGTTAAATATGTTCCCTGTTTTGGTTATAGGCGTATGGTTATTGATCACCCTCCATACATTAAACAATTTCCAACACAGATTGAGAGTTCAGAAAATCCAGAAGTTACAAGAATCATTCTGGCAACTTTCCCAATTTACCCGAATTGTTGTTTGCCGGTGAATGCCCGCCCATCTGTTTTATACTCGAAATTAAAACAAAAGCTAAAAATAACATCCAGCTGCCATTTCTGGGCATGCACACATTTTCATAAGATTCCCCTGGGGCTTTGTTTTCACAGTGAAATTTAAGCCTCCTTTAAACGTTCAAGTTGAAAACGCAGCGGGATTCTACAACATAACCTGGAGCCATGACGACGACGCCGCCGCCGCCGCCTGCCTCAGATACAGAGTCCGCATAAGAACGAGCGAAAACTTGTTGAAGGTAATATAAATATAAAAACCAATAACTTGGACGTGAGATTGAAAAAAAACATCACTGTGAAATTTCTCTGCTCACGAAATTCTGACGTTTTTTATTTTGTTCCTAACAGGATCCAGTTTTGTCCAAGGAAAGAGTGTCAGAAATGCACATTCTGATCAACCACAATGAACTACAACCACAAACCAATTATACTGTGGATGTTCAAGCCACATATTGTCCTGAATATTTCCTTCAGGGTCCATGGAGTGAATGGAGTTCCACTGCAAACTGGAAAACAGAGGCGTTAAATGTCAAAGGTAGCCTTAATGTTCAAAGTAGCATCAATATTGAAGGTGGAAGCTTATTTGAAAGTGTCTTATGCGTTTACGTTCTGCATGTGTCTTCATGCATACGCTTCAGTAACAGGAAGGGTGTCATTTGTTTGTCTAAGACTAAAAATTTTAAATGCCTTTTTTCCAGGTACTTGGTGGCACATCTTCCTGTCCATCGTTACTGTCTTCATTTTTTGCCTGCTTCTGTGTTATTCACAGAAAACGTAAGTATTTGAAACACTGTCTTTTCTTTTTTAAACCCCAGCAAACAATCACGATTAAAAACGTAATCGTTTGCATTGTCAGATTTCCGCCAAATCTTCATTAATTGCACAAAAAGAAACAACTCAGCAGAGTTGAAACAATTTAATACTGGAGGTCAACAGTAAGGCTTCCAGTAAATGATTAACAAAGCTTTAATCTGCATTTTCCTGGCATCACCTCCCACATATAGAGAAACCACTGCAGCATGTACGTGTGCAGCTCTTGCACTGAAAAGGCTAGCAGACATAGGAAGTTATGCAGAGCATCAGTGTCAGAGAACCGAGAACACCTCGCTTATCAAGTTCACACGGTTACAAGAAACCTACACAAGTTCACAAAAGCACATGAACTCTGTGCTTACATTTGTTCTGTTTGTTTTCTTTCTTACCTGTTTCAAATAAGGACGATGAAATGTTCTTCTCAGAGGAGTGATCGCACCTTTTGGTTTTGGGTTTTTGAAATGATTCTAACACATCTCTCTTGGGTACAGACGAATGGCTAACACTGTGCCAGTGGCTAACACAGTGTTAGCCACTGGCACAGTGTTAGCCACAGCTGAAAGCGATCATACACTGATAAACGTTGAACGATCAGTTTTAGTAGAAACTGTTTCAGGGACAAACTGTTGGATTCAGCTTTGTTTATTTTAAACCTGTGGCTTGTTTTATACAGAAAAACGCTCCAAGTGACACGACATGTGACACTATGTATATCGTAATTATTGCAGGGAGCTATATAATAAAAAAAAAGTCCTTTATTATCATTCCAGCCCAGAGAATCATCTCAGTTTAGGCCACAAACAATGCTGAAACGTGCGTCAAAGTTTTCCTCGTCTTATGGCGGTAAAGAATCTAAATCCAGACAAGGATTAGTCGAGTCAAGTCGCAGCGCTGTTAACAACTTTCAAGTGTTCATTTCATAGAAAGGAAAATTTTCTCTACTCGTAATAAACTTATCATTATGTCTTATAGATAACAAATAGTCAAATAGCAAGATGTGACTAATGAATTCTGCTTAACTCTGTATAGTCTTTCACATGAAATCTGTTGTGTTATCAGCATTTCTAGTTCGTAACTGAGAGAGCTGTTGCCTTTGACCACAACTTCATAACTGCTCAGCTCGCGTACTGAAAACGAAAATCACCTCCACAAGACGCGACACTGAGCTATAAATGTCATTGTTCCTTCTCTGCCTGTTGTTCGGTTTTTAAAAATCATTTCACATTTGTCTCAGGTGTTGGCAGAGAAAGCTTCAGGTGATCACGTACATCCCGAGACCGGATGAGTTTTTCAAACCCCTGTATCACAACTACGAAGGGAACTTCAAGGTAAGACGGCAAAACGACGTCACTCGTTGCGTTTTGTGTGTAATTTCCAAATCGAGCCAGCAGGTGCTGCCACAGGGGGACTTTCTGCACATCTGGACCCTGTTTTGTGGGACTTTCCCCAGACTTCACACTAAGGGACTCCGTGATGTGAATGAGTCAGTGTGCAGGGGCTTCAAGAACCTTTTCAGATATCAGTATGAAATCTTGTGGGTTGATATTTGTGTATAAAAGTCAAACCTGTTCCACCCCAGTGGAAAATACCACCGGTGAATCTATTTTGATCTTTGCTTTGACATAGTACTAGACTAAAAACAGCCTGCTCTTCACCTGAAAGGCACACAAGTGAAAAGGTCGTGGTTTGCACTTTTGAAATAGTTTTGCTGCTTCTTTATGAATCGCTTCATCTTCTATTACCCCGTGTATTTACCCTAATGTGATTTATGCTATTTTTCTTTCTAAGCTTAGGGAAATATTGATCATTATTTCTTACAAAATGCACTCCCTTTTCTTTATGTTAACTCATTTCAAATCCAAGCAGATAGTCTGCACTGTATTTCTAAATAGCTGGGTTAAAAACACCCTATCATGTCTGCTTTTGCTTCTCATTTGCTGCCTCTTTAGAATAAAAACAATCCAGTAGAGCAGCTTCACCACATCTCGTTTATAAATGAGTGTAGAGCACATTGAAAGAACCTGCTAGTATAATTTAAACATACCTTTAAAATAGACCTTTTACGCAGAACGGTTCTTCCATTGCAAATGTTCCACATCTCCAGAAAGTATCAAATTAGCCCCGCAGCAATTTGGTGACAGACAAAAAAAACCCACACATCCGCCTCAGTTCTCACTCTAGTTGATGAATTGCTCCCGAGTACGAGCAACAAGTCGAATTCATTAGCTTTGGCCATGGATGCAGTTGCACACATTGTTCAGTAGAGTGCGCTGCTGCAGCAAATGTCAGAAACAACATCAGGCAACAGGAGATTATTCTTACTTGGTTTGTCAATGTTGACTGTCCCGCTGTAACTCTTTATTTGGCACCAGTTCCTATCAGAAGGTGGCAGTATTGTTATTGGTAACTGAACCTTTTTCGGGGGGGCTTAAAACACACTTTACTGCAAACCACATTCACCTATTCCCACACGCTTTCATAAAGAATGCATGGGGTGCTTTAAACACTAAACAGAGTTGATTATTTTGCTCAAGGAACATTTGAGGAGTGGAGCTTCGCACTGCTACCCTCCTAATTGTTGGGTAACCCACTCCACCGCCACTTACCCACTTTTTAAGTCCTTAAATGCAAAACTCTGTATTACGTCTTTCACTCAGATATGGTTGTAGTTTGTTTGCAGTGTCTTTCACCCTTGTGGTGCAGAGTGCTTCCTTTCTCTCAGCGATTTTAAAAAGATTGTCGTGCTGAAGAGCTTTTTTTCCAGGATGTGGTGGCCTATGCTTTGAGAAACTGATTCATGCTTATCTGGCCATCAGCTTGCTGCAAACCAGTGGTAATTGCAGAAGGTTTACACCTCATTGACACGTATGGGTCGCTGTAAAGTAATGTGCATTTTAAGAAAGAGACATACTTTAATAGTGCATTAAAGTAAGAATCACAAATATTTTCTCAGAGCATAGGACATATATGCTCATTTTAAGCTACTCCCTGCAGTATTTCCACATGCGACTAGTATTTGTATTAGTAGAAACAAAAAATTTCAGGACCTGTACCATTTAAACATTTCTGGTCCTGGCACTAACAGTTAAATCTTTTGATCCTGTGAAAGCCCCAGACACTTAGGTACTTGTCCGGATGTCTCAACCACACTTGCAAAAGAACCTAAGATAAGGACAAGGTTCTCAACATTAAAGCAAACTTGTTTTGCTTTTGTAAAAGGTGATTTTTAATTAAGTATTAGTTCTTTGGTAACAGTGAAAATATTGAAATCCATTATCTACCACAACAGTCAAATGAACTGATATTTCCGCCAGCAGTCTGGCAGCTTTGCTCTCCTCTGGGACCTCCCCATCCTTCCACATACATACACTGAAAGCTGGAGGTGGGGAGAGAAACGGCAAGACCCCCACACATTAGAGCAATGATAATAGATA